CCATTTATCCATTTGCACCATCTATCCCCAAATCCACACTTCATTAGCATGAGTAATAAGAAACCCCAATCCACTAAGTCGTAGGCCTTTTCAAGATCTAGTTTACAAACATAACCTTGACACCCAATCTCCTCATCTCCTCCACACATTCATTTGCTATTAGAATCCGATCTACTATTTGTCTCCCTTGAACAAAAGCTCCTTGGGCTTGGCTGATAAGAAAGGAAGCACCTTTTTGATCCTCAAAGACAAGACCTTAGCCACAATCTTGTATACACTAGTCACCAAACTAATAGGTCTAAAGTCCTTTGGATGCTTAGCCTCTTTCTTCTTGGGAATTAAGACTAAAAAAGTAGCATTCATTCCATGACTAATCATTGAATTATCCTCAAATTCCTTGAAAACCTCAAAAAGATCTTCTTTGACTATGTCCCAACAATCTTGAAAGAAAGCCATTGTAAATTCGTTTGGCCCTGGTGCTTTATATATGTTAAGGGAGAAAACAACTTGTCTAATTTCTTCCTCCTCAAAATTCATTTCCAACCAGCTTCTACTCTCTTCTAGAAGCCTCTGCCAAGTCACACCTTCCAACTCCACTCTAGGTCCTAGGGGTCTCCTCAAGATGGATTTGAAATGGTCAACAAAACAATTGGCTATCCTTTATTGGGAATCAAGGACCAGTCCATCGACTTCTAGTTTGGATACTAGGTTTTTCCTTCTCATTCCATTGGCTAGTTCATAAAAAAAATTAGTGTTCCCATCTCCTTCCTTGAGCCACTTACATCTAGACTTTTGCCTACAAGAAATATCCTCTCTCAAAATGACTTCATCTAACTCTCTTTTCAGTTTCCATCTCTGATCTCTTTCCTGAGAGTTAATGACTCTTTGGGATTCCTTCACATCCAATTCCTCTATTTGGGTCATCAAAGAGGATTTCATTTCTTCTATTCTCCCGAAATGCTCCTTATTCCAATCCTTTTATTCTCCCGTAACATTCTGACTTATCGTCTCCGGAACGAAGGAAACACTCTATCTCCACTATCATCGAGTGCTTCTTGAACCTCAGATTGCGCCATTCCGGGGAGTTGACTTTTTCTTAGAGATTGGAACCCATGCCCAATTCGGATTTACTGCTCCACTAAGGCTGAGATTTTTTCCTGCGAGCGGTGGTTGTGTCTTGCTCGAAGGGGACGATGATAGACCATCTTTTGTGTCCATCATCTCCTCTTTTCCCTTGGTCACCTGCCCACTTAAAGAGGCGTGTGGCTTGTTAAGACTTGGGTCCACCCCTTTTAAACAGTCGGCCCGGTCATAACTAGAGGCTCATTATTTCCAAAAGGGTCTAGGCCCAATCCCCCAACCTCTTTACCGGTCATGTGTTTACTTAAGGCTTCACGTGACTAGCCTTAGTTCACTGGACTAGAATGAACCGGCTCACAAGAATGGTTTGAAACCTGAACCCTAACCGACCTTTGCTAAATTTCTTTTGAAATTTGAACTTCTAGTGCATGCCTGTCTCCATTTAAGCCTCCTGTCACCATCTGAACATAGGATCTTCCATCGCTCTGCCCACCCTGCCATGTAGACTTTCCCTAAGTCTTTATGTTATTCTCTTTTTTCTTGGTTTCCTCAGTTGACAAAGCCTCTTTTGTAGTAACTGCTCTGCCTTGCAATCCACATAAACACTTGTTTTGTCCCTTCGTCCCTCCTTCCATAGCTGAGCTTCAATGGAAGTAGCAAGTCAAACAGGGTATGCTAAACCATCTAAAGCAACCTCTATCTTCCTTGGAATGTCACTGGGTTTAACTCCGCCTAGATTCAATGCAACTGATTGAAGATCAAAATCAAAGACACCATCTAATCTTGCATCATAGATTATAGCTATTGACTGTAATACCTCCTCCTAGAGATTGAAAGGTGTAAGTAGGAGGTGGTCAGGTTAGGTGGGGATGGTCTCCTTGAAGGACAAAGGAAGACCAGGAGTGAAGAATCAATCGAGGCTAGGATAAGAGGAGGGAGTGATAAGACGGCTGAGCAAGAAATTCAATGACTGGGTTAATCAATGGTTGAATGAATGATCTTCGTTATGAGGAGGACCTTAATTTATTGGGAGGGACCCCGAGATCCCAAAAGGAAGGAGTCAAAAGTGTGTTTTTCTATTAGGAAAGAGAATATTAGATTTAATGTCGGTTATTAAAGAACATTGCTAGGGTTTCACTACGTGTGTTTATGAGATCTCTCAAGGGTTGGCTGTCCTTTCACCCAAGGATTCTCATAATCGACATGTGCTACCGCCTTTCGCACCTTATTTAACCGACTTGGTGCTAGTGACGTCATTGCGTAGCGAGCAGCCCTTTATTAAACTTAAGTGGCGCCTTATCACGCGTGCAACTTAAAATTACACGTGCGGTCAATACTTAAGTCCAGTTCTCAACGAACCACGGCTTTGTAACGGTTTGGGGTTTATCGTGAGACCGCGCTCCTTCGGATTTCATCGCAGGACCGCGTGGGTCTGAGATTTATCGCAAAGTCACACACATCCATGGTTCATCGCGGAACTGAATGCATATAAAATTCATCGCGGGTTTAATTAAAACCTATTTTAGGCTCGTGTCAAGCACAAGTCCATCGCGAACGTGCAATGAGCCACGTGTTTATTGCAAACGTGTGATACACTACAAGTTCATCGCAAGTGGCTGGTAAGCTAAAGACTGTTCGCAAGCATCCATATGGTATCGATTCAGTGTCTTCTGAACTCTGAAGGACTGAATGAGCATGTACCTACAAAAGGCAAGCCAAGCAGTCTGACTATTATGTTGTCCTCAACCTCAAAACTTTTGGTATTAGAGAGAGGACATCATTTCGAGACTATGGCAACACCAGCCTCTGAGTGAATATTTAAAGCTGAAATCTTTATTTCAACTTCACCCAGATCTATCAGAGCTTTACAAGATTCATAAGGTGTAATCACCATCGGCTTTGGCAGGTTCAATTCTCTGAGTATCGCCTGCGCAATACCCCTCCAACCCTTTGGTGGGCTTGAAGTTTCCACCACAAATTTCTTCACCCAATCCTCCTTTCCTGCTGTTGCTACCAATTTACATTTTCTTTTTCCCTTTTCTGCAATCGTCCATTTCCTGTCACTGGATTCTTCCTCTCTCTTTTGTTTACCCACTTCTTCTCCTTTGCTACAGCTTCTATTTGTTCTGCTTTTAGTTGTTGAGTAAAATCACTCAGTAACTCTACCACTACCTTCCATCCATTACCTCTTCTACCTTCTAGGAAGCAAACTAACTGCTTCTTTCTTCCTCCAAAGAATTCCTGCAGAGTTATGTAGCATCCTTTTGCATTCTTTTTACATTCCAGCTCATATCTCTTTCTTCCATCTAAGTTTAACTCCATAAAGTTCACATGTTTACCTTTAGAACTTGCTTCTAAAACAAACTTCTGCATCCATTCGATCACTTCCAGACCTTCCAGCAGTATCGTGGCTTTCTTTGCCTCCCTAATCTTCAAGCTCTGCAGGCCTCTGATCCTTATCACTTCAAAGATGAAATATTTTGCTTCAATCATCATCGCTTTCCTCCATCTTGCAACTTCTACGAACCTTTCCTCCATCTCTTCTTTCCCCCCAACTCATCGCTCTCGGGTTACTGGATTAACATTAACTGGCATGTGTGCTTTTTTTTTCAAAAGTCTAGAGGGGGACTGGTCTTAGGCCTGGTCACCCCCTGAAATTGCACAAAAAAGGCAAAACCCAAAATACCTTTTATAGATGTGTATCAGGGTGCTATCGAAACAATACGATACACCCCAATTTGTAACGAAATTTTGATGTTTGAACCTTGATTCCCCCCATAGGAGGTACCATTAGGGATCACAATGGGAGTATCTTGGCACTATTTTCTGGGCCCATAGGGGTAGGGATCACAATGGCTACAACAAAACAAACAATGTCTGTGGCAATATTGGTATCAATTGAAGCAAATGAGAACCTTGGCCACTGACCTAAATGCAAATTTCACCTAGACTTAATAGATTAACTAATGTGCTATAATAGTAACAGGTGCAATGGCTAGACAAGGGGTGAATAGGGCACATTTTCTGTGACAACTTGTTGTATGACTAACTGTAGAGTGAGAAAATGCTTTAATAAAGTGTCTAACACTCATTTCTTGGAGATGATTTGCATTCTGTACATATTCATTTTTACTTAATAATTAAAAATTTTCACAGTTACCAATAAAAAGGGGCATTACTCCAAAGAACCATTATAATACAATCCCAGAAAGAGTACTGTTGTTAGGGCATTTTTTTTATCAGTGAATGGTAAGATTTATTAATTCATAGCCAAAGAGAGTACAATTTAGGGWGAGGCACGAGATGCTACCTCCCCTTTAAGGAGGGGAGATGGAGGATACCATCATCCCTTTAGTTAATAAGCAGAACTTTTTTTTATCAGTGAATGGTAAGATTTATTAATTCATAGCCAAAGAGAGTACAATTTAGGGAGAGGCACGAGATGCTACCTCCCCTTTAAGGAGGGGAGATGGAGGATACCATCATCCCTTTAGTTAATAAGCAGAACAAAGGACAAAGAAAATTACAGAGAAGCCCAATACAAAGAAACCCGAGTAGCCCCTTGTTAAGCAAGATAATCAGCCAAGGCATTAGCCGATCTACCCACCCACTGAAACCTAATTATCATAACCCTCGAAAGCCATTTAACCTTTTTCAAAATATCCTTAAAGCCCCAAGTGACAGTACCCCGGTCAGCCAACCATCCAGGGAACTCTTTGATGGGACCAACCAAATGGTGGGTTCTGATTCTCTGAATATGGGACATCAAACAAGTTATGTCATGGCAGCCCCAAGCACAATCTTTTGCTATGTAAGTGAATCATATCATTACATAAATTAGAGTCCATTAGTCAACAATGAAAGATAAAAGATAAAATAAAAGAAAAGAAAAGAATTAAATTATAAAACATAGGGCATACCTGTACTCCTCAAGAGGGGTTAAAGGATCTGGCCTCACAGATTCCAGTTCCAACTTGAATGCTTTTGCCGAGGATTCTCTAGGATGATCTCTTGAATGGTAATATCCCAACACCTTCAACATGAACAGATGAGTGAATTGCATTCAAATGTTACACAATGAGAATTTGGTAAAAATGCAAGACAATCAAGGTATTGTCAATAGAAATATGCAACAACCAAGAGACCAAGGTCTCAAAAATTTCAAATTAATACCAGCTTCCAAGGTGCATCCCTGCTCCGATCATAAAGATATAAATCCTTGACTGAGAGTGAGAGTTTTGAGACACATATTTCACCATCCGGAAAGATGTCATACTGAAGGCTCATGCCAGATAATGCAAGCTCTAGATATATAGTTGCGTCCCTTCCACATTTGTTAGCAATACGCTGAATATTGTTGTTATCTTGGTCATTCCAATCAGATCCAGCATACATATGCCACCTTACCTCAATGTTCTTAAGAAGTACTTGTCCTATTGCCTTGCAAAAACTATCAGAACCTGTATTGTGAATAGAAGAATGCTTGTGTTCTCCTGGGACTTGCTTCTCTCCAGGCTGCTCACTTCCTTGCGAAATATGGTCTTCAACAATTCTCAGTGAGGTGTCTTGATACCAACCACCACTCCCACTTCCAACATATCCATGGCCTCCATTCCAGGGTTCACATTTAAGATCATCATGCAGTGGCTGGTTGGTTGTAGATAATTCAGATGAAGGGCAAAATTCAGATAAACAATAGCCTTCTATAAATTCTGGAAAACAATCTTTCTGTGGAGATGATGTCTGAGTACTTTCTACCCTAGTTCCAGACATTGACCCATTGAAGGAGAAATTACRAGAGAAACTTTCAGGGGCACTGATCTCCATATTACATCCCTCTCCAAAAAGACAACCATCAAGGAAACCATTCAACTGTGATTCAGAGGACCAAGATGTGCCTCTAGGATTTTCATTCACATTAAAAGCATTCTCACATATGTCATCCATCAGGCCAACTGTCCCAGATCTACATTTAGAATCTAGACTTGATGACTGTGCATGCAGAGACAAGGCAGCAGTATTACTAACAATGCAATGCCCATCATGTGCCTGCTGAACAGTATTCCACCTAGTCTGCAAATGCACTATTGATTCCTCCACATCAGGTGCAAAAAGCTGCTGCAGTTGAGCTACCAAACAAATAACACCAGAAGTGGTGTCATGGCAAGTACTCAGGTTAATGCAGAATTCAGAACATTCTACTTCCCAGAGGTGGCCATTCTTACAATTTGTCCTTAAAACCGCTTCAACAAGTGCCTCACTAGCCACTTTGACATAGCCCACGTGGCGAAGATACTCCACAGTGTAACTGCTACTAGCATCTTCAAGCCCAGAGAGTGCACGAAGAAGGAGACCTAGATCCTGCACCCTAATCTTGTAGTCATTTTCCATACAATTTGCGAAGGTTTGATTGGACAGATTAATTGAAGCTGCAGCTAGCAAACAAGCCACATATTTTTCCCCCGAATCCTGCATAAGTTTGGCAGAATCATTGAACCCAGATTCCATAGTTTCACTACTGGCCACCAGATTTTTCATGTAGGGTTCATAACTCAAAGCAATGTCCACAAAGTTAAGAAGGAGCAATGATCCACAAGATGAGCCATTCTCAGAAGAGCCCTTCCCTTGTTCATTCTCTTGAGAAGGTAAACTGAAGAAGTAGCATATTGCATTTAACCAATCCAAGCGGCCTCCTGGAGCTACCAATGTGCAGCATCTTACAGTTATGGATGTGAAACCTTGAAAAGTCTGTGGGTCCCAAAGGCGAGCAATTATAGTTCCAGCAGAACCAGAAGACAATGCATTGGCACCTTCTCCATCACCACGCTGCATTGTAGAGTTGCTACAAGAGATCAAGAGAAGCTCACGGGTTGGAAACCCAGTTATGGAGCCCCACAACTCACCTTCACCATGGCCCAACCAAAAAAAGTTGGCACCACTAATTCCCCCAATATTTGAGACAGAAAGCAACTCAAATCTCTGTACCTTCAGTTTTATGCTATGCCACGAACCAGGAAGTTCTTTCTGTATTGAGCATTTCACTTCCTCCACCTTATCCAGGTTAATTAAAATTTCTACAGAATTGCATTCCACAAGCAAAGATGTTTGAGACTTGACGTCTTCTATCTTGTCATCCTTGTAACCTGGAGCTACACTTGTCTCACATGGCGCATATGATAACCCATCCAGAATCTGGTTTATCAGATGATGCATGCCTTTATATTGAGAACTGTCTAGATTGATTGAAACAGGAAAGAGACGAATATGAAGGAATGATGCAGAGCTTAAAATCATCTCCTGATGAGTACGAGAATTTATATCCTCCAGATCTTTCACAGTTGTTACAGATGCAAACTCATAACCTGTTGCTTTGTTTCTACTTCTCTTTAGATCTTGTGAAGTAGCCAAGGACTTAGCTTGCTTTGCTATCCAAGGGCCAGTCACAGGACCCTCCTGCCAAAGCATACTAATGCAGGAGAGGCATCCAATTCTGCTGTTGACAGAGAGGATCTTCTGAGAAGAAAAAGTCTTTATGTGGTTGGTATAACAGTTACTTCTAAGACCATCTTTACAAGAAGAGGTGATCAAGTAAATCTTAAGGTTTCCAACATTCAAGTGGAGGGAACCAGAAGCCACAGAAGAATATCCACTCTGAGAACTTGCATCAGGAACTTTTTCATTGTTCAATGGAGAGGAAAAATCAAGAGCAATAAACTGATCCCAGGAAGCATAGCGTCCATTATCTCCATTCTTCTCAAAAGGGAAGCATAAAATCACCCTTGCATTAGGGAGGAATATATTCCCTTGCAGACTTCTTTTAGGAGACAATGTTGTAACATAAGGATATGTCTGTCTTTTCACATTCCCATGACTTGACAAGTCATGCTTCCTATTCAAAGCATCAGCTTCAAAACACTTGTTTGCATTATTTATTATTTCAAATGAAGATGTGACTTGCTTTAAAAGATCCAGCAACATGTTTAACAAATGAAAGTTCACCCAAAAAATGAATGGTGGCAGATTCAAAGAAAATGATGTTGAGCCCGATAAATTGTCATCTGAGCAAGTCAAATTCAAGGTAAATTGACAATGACTGACACTTGATGTTTTCAGAAATTTAACCTTGACTAAATCCTCCTTGCAAATAGTCCTAAAATTGATTCCTTGTCTACTTGAAGGAAAATCCAGGGTATTCAACCCACTTGTTGTCTTTTTTGGATCAGAATCCTGGAAAAGCAAAGGAAATGATGGGAGAGCATGCTGAACTTCTGCCTGAAGATGTTGGATTGGAAGAATCTGCTTGCAAATACCACTCTCATAACCCAACAAGCCAGAAGTCAGAGCATTTCCACTGCTAAAGTAATCATCAAGCTCAATATGCATCACAATTGCTTCAAACTTTTTTTTTCGAGGACATATCTGTTGACCATATGAAAAGTTGAAAATCAATCAAAAACAATTCACAAAACCGTTTTAAGGAGAGAAGTACAATTTAACCAGATCATTACCTGCAAAACAAGGAGTAGGTCTAGACACTTCATATTCAGATAGTGTATATTTTCAACAAAAGTTGCATCATCAGACATCAAATTACATGAATGTTTCTGGTATTCATCATGCAAAGAAAGCACAACAGAAACCCCTGCAATAGTTGCCTTGAGATTTGTTTCAACATGCTGCTGTTCTGCACAAGTATTAGGAAAATAAATCAGTATCTCATAGACTACTTGCTCAGAGATTAGCAAACAACATTTGTGTACTAATGAGAACACTGATAAGAAACCTGTAAGGAATGGCAACATCCAAATATAAAAAAACCAAGTAACTTTCATGGGTAAATAAATAACAACTATAGAAGTTACAGATCCACAACTCTGATGAGAGTTTGAAACTTAGAATAAGCTTAAAAGCAAGGTACATGCACAAAGGGTGCCAACCAACATCTTCTCTCATTTCCAAAGTGTCTAAGATACTAGATGGGCCCTCAGATATAGCTTCTCTAGTATGATGACAAGATACCATAGGGCCCCAGACCCATCTCCCATCCACCCAATGACAATATGTAAATATCCCTCCACCTCTCCTTGCCATCCAACTCTGCCCTCTCCTAGCTTAGCCCATGATCCTCATAATTCACCCTTAACTTGACCTCCCCACAATCCCCTTTTCTAAAAAAATTCTGCCCTCTTAATCTCTTAACTCATCATCTTCCATCAGCTTCTACGATGAACCCCTTCATATGAGCTGATTCAACAACCCGTAGCATATGAGTAAATTCAACAAGTGATAGCCTTGAAAAAGGGGTAACAGTGAGTTTTTTTAACATTCCACATTGACAAGTTAAAGTTTTATACTTTTCATAGAGGGGATCTATTTTCACATCATACATGCCTTGGATTCTCCCTTTTGTACTCAGTCCTATAATTGCACCTTTCATATTTTTATTATTAACTTATTAGAGAATTCTATTAATATTGAATCACATTATAGTAAACTACAGAAAAGAGAGTCAACATATTAGACAATTTTATTAATGCCAAACCAAAGAATAGTGAAGTACAGCTAGATGAGAATCAACTGACCCTCCCCAAACAGAACAAATGAGAACTGACTCTACTGCCCTCCTCACAAGATGCCATCTCCGTAGAACAAGAAATACACTCTGAACTGGGGGTGTGATCCCCAAGATGACTATTAAGTCATGTCATCCCTAGCAAGAGCGTTAGATAAAACATTTGGTGATTGAACCACCTAACCAAGTAAGAGTTCAGACTCAAAGCGAAAGATCTTGCCTTAACATGATTTTGAAGTTGTCAAGGACACTCAGTTCTCATCCAGCTAATTACCATTTGTGAATCCCTTTCCACCACCAGATTCCAGCAACCAATTAAGCACCCCAATCTCAATGTGGCAGTGGCATGAATTCAGTCCATGTGGAGTTTTTGGCCCCCACAGGACCTGAATTAACCATCAAGGTTTTGCCTTCATGCTTTCTAAATGCACCAACCACCGATTTTCAAGTTTCTTGGATTATAGAAACTGCACCCTCAAATCTCAGTTTTATACAATCAGTTGGTAAAGATATACTCAGGGACCCTCTTCTGGTAGATCAATATGCCCCTGCTTGTTACCATTTTATGATGTCATTCAAAGTAAACAAGGAGAACTAATTCATAGCCCACCAATGTGCCAGCCACCCTGATAGTTATGACCTCAATCAATGCCACTGCACTTTACCTTGTGTTAAAGAACTCATCCAACATACTTTTTGTTTACCAATAAAGGTGCCTATAAAGAGGACAATAACACAATTGAGCTGGAGTTCAACAATAAATGTAGTCATACTTGAATTTACTTACAAGCATAAAAATCAACATCATCAGGTTCAAAGTAAGAATACAAATTAAAGGGTCCATTTGGTTCACAATTGGAATTGGAATCGGAATTGGAATGGTCTATTCCCATAGTCTGTTTGGTTCAGACAGGAATGGGAATAGGAATTGGAATAAGCAGGAATGGGATTTCATTCCCAAGAGAGGGGCAGGGGATGGTCATTCCCTYAAATGGGGGAATACCATTCCAGCAGGAACGGGAATGGGATTCCGATTCAGCCCAACCAAACAGTTGGAACCGAAATAGTCCATTCCGATTCCGATTCCAATTCCAGACCCCTATTCCTGCGAACCAAACGGGGACTAAGATGTCCAAGCTATCTGTAGGGAATGGAATAGGTCTAACTTGACATTCTCCAGATAACACAATGGTTACAGAAAGGTTACCAGAAGGGATATGCAATGACCCAGAAGCAAGGCTAGATGCAGCAGTTATTGCACTGAAAACAGAACAAGTCCAGTTCCATATCCCACTGTTGCCTAAAGCTGATTGGGAAGACCTCATTCCATCAAAGCATTCAAAGAAGTGATCCACACTGCAAATTACCCAATGGCACAATAAAGTGAGATATTAGCTCCTAGTCAAAGTTAACTCAATGAAATAAGATAATATTGCATGAATAACTCATTGAATTAGGCATTGAGGGTTTGAACTGCAAGAACATAAAACATCACAAAACCTTGGCAGTGCCTGTTAGGGGAGTAAAATAAGGAATCATAAAACCAACTTTAATTTTAATGCTACACCTTGGAAGTTGGAAGTCTGAAAACATAAAAAGGGAACGAACCTTGCCCCAAAGTTGTGTTCTACTTCATCTCTGTCATTTGCATTTTTGTTGAAGGACAATGGAACCCAATCTGGTATAAGATGTGACCCTGGTAGCAAAGCATCTGTTCCTGTTTCTTGACTAACTAGTGAATAGAAACCTGATGAGGAGCTTTCACTTTTTGGTGTCACTATATCTGAAGTAATCATAGAAGCACATGGAGTGGATGATTGGTAGAGAGATGCTGAACTAGGATAAGCTAAGCCTGTGGCCTTGTGCTGCATATGAATTCTTGCATCCTTGTCTATATTCTTGAGAGATTCCCATAAGCAAATGAACCATCTAATGGTGCTGGGCTGAAATATTAATTCCAAGGAATCAATAGAAACATCAGCATCCACTTTACGGATATCCAAAGAACCATTTTTCCAAGGTATACTTAGTTTCAGGCTCCCTGCAAATCCACCGCTTCCCCCTGTCAAAACTGGAATTGGAGAGTTTGATGAACAGTTTCCTAGATACCATTGACCAAAGGTCTTTCCACAAGCACATGGAGACTGTGTCTGATTATCAACATCATCTGTTTGAAGAAGCTCAATGAAGGCTCCATGAAACTTTACGAAATTTGTTAGCCTAGTCATCCCAAGAAAGCTATCAGATTCTACACCAGAACTTACATTAGCATCTTCAGAAACATAAGTCCCACATTCCGTTTCCGTAATTCGAAGAACCAAAGTTTTTTGATATTCCGATTTGCTTTCATCTTTATTTAGACAAGGCTCAAATGCAACAATCAGTTTTTTTACTTTTATATGAAAGCTTGTAAGCAACCATTTTACCATTTTTGCAATTGTTTTAACTCCTTCATGGACATCCACAGATGGAGATGCTGAAACCTTGTTAGCAACTTCATGCTCAAGCTTTTGCAAGCCATGACTGGTATGTTGTTTAACATCTTGACTGGAAGTAGATGTTCCCGTAGAAGTTTTAACTCCAGCTTGTAAATTGTTCTCTACACAGGGAGCAAGAACGAGCTCAAGTTCATCCAAATCTATCTGACAACTTTTACCCTTCCAAGGGATTTTAACCAATAGGGAGCCAATTGATCCTTCTTTTACAATGACTGCTGCTGAATCCAACTGGAAAAGGTAGACAAAAGAAGATTAATCATTTACAATTGATCCTTCTTTTACAATGATTGCATAATGGCAGCACTGTAGCTAGCCTAAACCAATAACTTGATTAAATAAACAGGTCATACAAATGCAAACCAAAAAGTCACTCCCAAGTCTAAGAAGTGAAAATGGAAGTAAGATAGTGGTGGCAGTCAAATAATTATTACGGAAGTTGGGCATGTTGGGGAGTTCATATCTCAACATCCTGGGATTTGATCAACCATAGCTTTTGGAAAAGTGATAGATTTGAGAATCTACTGTTAGTCTAAACTTCCAGATTGACAAAACAAGGTGAAGGTTTCATTTTTCAAGTTGTAGAGAAGCTGGTTTCTCCAACTGCATAAAGTATACATTCTGGTCAATAGTCAAAACTTGGCCTTTGACCAGCAGATCCCACCAACACCCAGAACAGGGAACCTATAAATTATTGTTCCAATGATTTTAGTTGAGTTTTAGTAGTTGAAAAGGGTGAGAATTTTCTCTTTGAAGCCTAAGTAAGATTAGGACAGAAACAAGAAGTGGAAGTTTATATATCAAGTTGGCAGCTTCAAAGATTATTCCCTCTAATCCCTATGCTAGATTATGTTTTTTATATAATAAAAGGAAAATTCTATTCAAAACGGAAGACAGAGTACATTTTATTCAAGGTGATGAGCTAGCACCCGCACAACACAACCAATAACAAATATTAAACTATTATGTTACGAGGCGAATCAATTGCATCCCAAAATCTAGACCTGAACTCTGCCCTATTATCACTCTTTAAATCAGGAAGAGTCAAAATCAGTGTCTAAAAATCCAGCCTGAAGGTTGAACTGCTTTTCCTTCCAGGTTAACAGGCCAGTAGTTTACTTGCCTGAGTCAATGAGTCAATCCATGATATCATTGTAAAAAATTTCAAAACAAAAAACTAAAATAATACGAAAAAAATAATGACTGATTGATGGGTCAGACAGATCAACAATTCAACCATCTAGATTGATGGGTGATTGACCAATTCAATGGCTTTCTGTAATATAGCAGGTTAGAGATTGACCCAAACCAGGGTTGTGACAGGTTGAATACATTGGTCAAAACCCAATCCACAGTTAGATTTCCAATCTCAACACGAAATCTTTTTTATTGTTAATGTCAACACAAATTCCTTCACAGCTCCTTTTATTATCTTCAAACAATCTTTTGTTCCAATCCTTCCAAATACCCTAACAGATTGCAAAAGGAATACAGCCCCAAAGAAGTTTGGGCTTCCTGCTCTCTTGAATACTTGGCCATCAAGCAAAAATTTGGTCTGGATTTTGTGGTTGTAGAACTTGAATTCTGAACAAGAATGTGAAGATGAATCACAACCTCTTTGTTAACTTGCAATAGATGAATAAATATGTCGCAATTTCTTCACTGTTGTAGCACAAGTAACACATACTAACCATATTAACACCCATCCAGGGCCGGATGGGTTTACAATGGCTTTTTATCAGGATTGTTGGGATATCTTGAAAGATGATCTCTTGTGGGTGTTTGAGGAGTTTTTCAGGAGAGGAATTGTCAATCCGGGTGTGAACTCTACATTTATAGCCTTAATTCCAAAAAAGAAAGATGCATCCCACCCGAAGGATTTTAGGCCAATWAGCTTGGTTAATAGCTTGTATAAGATCATTGCAAAAGTGTTGTCTTTGAGRYTRAAGAAGGTAYTGCCAGAWATCATTGCACACTATCAAGGAGCTTTTGTGAGTGGAAGACAAATTACAGATCAGATTTTAATTGCTAATGAGAGTGTGGAGAACTTTAAGAGGGATAAGAAGAAGGGAGTGGTCTGTAAGCTGGACTTGGAAAAGGCTTATGACTTGGTGGACTAGGAGTTCTTGAGGAAAGTTTTAACTAAATTCGGGTTTGGGGCTAGATGGTGTAAGTGGATCATGGGCTATGTCTTGTCATTACTCAGTGCTAGTGAATGGGATAGTGGTAGATTTCTTTCCAGCCAGTAGGGGTATAAGACAAGGAGACCCCTTTTGTCCTTTCTTGTTCATTCTAATTGCGGAGGTTTTGGGGAAACTGATTCACAGAGCAGATTCTAGAGGGCTCATTAGAGGCTGGAGGGTTGGGAGGGTAGAAACCCCCCTCACTCACTTACAGTTTGCTGATGACACGATTCTGTTTTGTGAAGGCGATAATGTGAGGTTTATTAGGAACTTAAAGTCGGTGATACAACTGCTTGAGCAAATGTCCAATTTGAAGGTTAACCTTGGGAAAAGTTGTGTGGTGGGGGTGAATTTGGAGGAGGGAGAGATCAGGGAGAGTGCTGAAGTGCTAGGGTGTGAAGTGTTGGGGTGGCCTTTGAATTACTTGGGATTACCATTAGGTGATAATCCCAAGAGAGAGAGTTTCTGGAACCCGGTGATGGAAAGGTTTGAAAAAATATTGGTATCCTAGAAAAAGAACTTCCTCTCTACCACGCTTGCTAACTTACCCATCTTTTTCATGTCGGTGTTTAAAATCCCAGTGAAGATTGCTAACAGATTAGAGAAGATAATGAGAGATTTCCTGTGGGAGCTAGGAGAGGAGAAGAGAGATCATAGAGTTAGCTGGGAAATAGTGTGTAGGAGTAAGTCGTGTGGTGGTTTGGGGCTTGGGAGTAATAAGAGAAGGAATATGGCTCTGTTGGGGAAGTGGTTGTGGAGGTTTCCTATGGAGAAGGAGAAGCTATGGGCTAGAATAGTGGCAAGTATACATGGGCTGAAGCACAATGGATGGGACGCTGGAATTAGAGTTAGGATCACAAGCAATTCTCCTTGTAAAGCCATTCATGACCTGCTACCAGTTTTCTTCCCTAATATCARGTATGACTTGAATTCCRGTAACTCCATAAAATTTTGGGAACAAACCTGGGTGGGGAGCGCCCCTCTAAAGGATCAGTTTCCATCTTTGTATTCTCTTTCTGATTTGAAAAATGAGCCGATCTC